TCTGACTAATTTCAGACATCCAGGCATTGTAGAAAGTTGAAAACTTTCTTGTGAAGCAATGATTTTGCTAGCTTTGCTTGTTGCACATTACTGACAGCAGAGAGTAATTATTCATCTAACCTTTTCATGTAAGTAATAGTTTATAAGGAGTTCAAAAACGTGTATTCAATCTAAGGTTTGTATAATAATATTTCGTACCAGTACATGAGAATATGGCCTAAAGATATAGTACTGCCGATCATTTAGCTAAAATATATTCATGACATGTCCACAAATAATTTAAACAATGAATCAACCAACTAATAGCAATTCAAAGAACTATGGAATCTATTATGACTGGCATTACATACCAGCCATGCTCCCTCAAGTCACAAGTCAGCTCTGCAAATAGACCCTAAAGTCACAAGTCACAGCTCTGAAAATAGATGGCTAATCCATGCTCCCTCCTTTTTATGTTTCCCCTCCAAAATCGACCGACCCTCCAGTCACAGCTCTGCAAATAGATGGATAATCCATGCATGGAGAGGAAATTTTTTGGGAAAGAAAAAAAAATCCGGTTCTCCTATATGTATCTCTGCCTGTGGCACAACTAAGCATTATCAACTGAATTTTTAAACAATCATTTAACAATAGCAATTCAATTCCAAATCATGCAATTCATTCAATTGAAAATCACCGAGTTCAGTAGTTGATTATACTATGAACTACTAAATTTAACTATGGTGGAAGAGCCTTCTATTTGGTGTGACACCCAGGATTAGAACTCTGAACCAATCTTGAACAAACTAAACTGGATTAGAACCTGGAACTGAATCTAGGAGGAGCAAAAATTGTAGCAATTGGTGACATAGGCCACATTATCAGTTTCACTAAGGACCTAAGCAACTAATTGACTAAAATCAAAAGCATAGTTAAGAGAATTCCTGCCACACAGCAGCAGAGGAGAAGAGAACCCATGGTGAGCCACTAATTGATTAAAATCAAAAACATAATTAAGAGAATTCCTGCCACACAGCAGCACAGAGAAGAATCAATGGTGAGATCTCACGGACACAATACAGACTTTTCATATGAATAACTTCGTACCATTCAAGAGAAATTAACACCAGAAAGCTAATATATAGTAGCCAAACCAATTCAGAGCAATACATGTATAAACTAGCAAAACTATGTCTCAAGAGGACCACGATACAGCAAGACATATCTCATAAATAGTAGCATAAATAAGTACTGGCTGAACACAAAAGCTTCAGTATCATCACATTGCCCACACCAAAATTGCACCAGTCCTTTACTACCTGCAATAGTAAAAACAGGAAAACTCAATATCAGGACTCAATAATAGAACAAAGAAAGCAAGACAGGGAAAACTCAATATCAGGACACAATAGTAGAACAAAGAAAGCAAGACAGAGAAAACTCAACATCAGGACACAATAGTAGAACAAAGAAAGCAAGACAGGGAAAACTCAATATCAGGACAGAATAGTAGAGCAAAGAAAGCCAACACAGAAGTTTGATTGCAAAAATGACCAACCAGATAAAGTGAGGTGCTGAGCTTATCGCCTGCTTGTCTTTCCAAGAGTGCGTTTCCCAGAGAACAGATGCTTTGGTTTCAAAGTGGGAATAACGCGGTCAGCCTCTCCACGGCGAGCATCCTTGTTCCTGTTCCTAGTAGCGGCCTTCGCTTTCTTGATAGCCTTCTTCTTCTGCTCAGAGTCCTTGAATCCTTCTCCAGGAATGACCTCCTCAGGAGCCCGTGACCTCGACCTAGACCTTGATGTCAGACGCAGTTTCTTGTTGGATTGCTGGCCATCTATCTCCATACCGTCACCATCAGCTGCAGCTCTGCTCACTGACCTCTCACGCTTGCGACCCCTAGACTGGCTGCGAGCTCTATTCATGGCAGCACTAGGATCCACACCCATGGAGGAAAGCTGACGTCCCATCCTATCAGTTGTGAATTTCCTATCTTTGTCAAACTTTCTAGGGACAATAGGACGGCTTTCTGCAGTTCTCTTCTTCATTCTATGTTCTTGGATGAGTAATGCCTTCTTCTTCCTAATCTGAGCCAAAATCTCCTTCTGTTCCTGAGTTAGTTCATGACCATCAATCTGGAAAGCATCTTCTGCAGCTTGTTCTTCCAGACGAAGCCCTTCCTCTCTTTCCAACTCTTCACACCTTACTAGGATATCTGGATCCAGAAAATCAGCAACGTTGTGACCATCCAGTATCTCTGGAAGAATATCCTCCTTCCATTCATCATTGGCCAATATATAACGTTTCTTGAGACTCGCAGAATAGACCCCAGCACCTCCATTCTCATTCTCAATGTCCTTCTCAAGCTTCTTCTTTTCCTTTGCAGCAGCATTCGCCCTAGCTTCCAGAACAGCCTGAGGGATGCAAACAGGCCTCTCCTTGTTGTCACGAGGCTTTGGAACAGCAACATGAAACCTATTCAAACAATCCATCATCTTCTTTGACTTCATCTTCACATCCACCCTCTGTTCAAGCAGCCTCTCGCATGCAGCATTTTTGACAGCCATTACACCATCATCAGTTAAAGTGCTCATAGTCAACAAAACACCCTCTTCATTAGGACCACCAGCTTGGGTTATAGTCTTCATAGCCTCTGCCTTCATCTCCATGACTAGCTTCATGTCATCCTCAGAAAGCCCTTCAAGTGGCTGCAAGTCAGTCTTGTTGCACACAATGACCAAAGGCTTATTCATGAACAGAGACTTTATACTGTGGAAGAGTGCAGCTTGCTGAGAAATACTGTATCCACAAGATCCAGAGATGTCCAGAAAGAACAACACCGCAGCCCTCAAGTGTGCCAGAGCAGTGATGCTGCACATTTCTATGATGTTCCTATCTTCAAAAGGCCGATCAAGTATACCTGGTGTGTCAATCACTTGGTAGCGCAGGTACTTGTAATCTGTATGACCAACAAACAGGGATTTTGTTGTAAAGGCATACGGCTGGACATCCACATCTGCCCTTGTAACCTTGTTCATGAAAGAACTCTTCCCCACATTTGGATATCCACAAATCAGAACAGTACGGGTGTTCGGATCTATGGACGGAAGCCTGGCCATGTGCTGCCTGATCTGCTCTAAGTAAGCCAAACTAGGACTGATCCTCTTCACGACAGTGCACATGCGACCTAGTGCAGCCACCTTCAGACACTTGCACCGGTACAGGGAGTCTCCATACTTGAGCAGCCTCAAGTAGTCCTTGGATATCTTTGCAATGATGTTCCTAGATGTGTTGATCTGACCCAGGGCAAGCTTGTAGTGATCCTTGTTGTAGAGCACGTGGAGGAGATCACCATAGAAAGGGTGGATGTCATCCAGTCGAGGAAACTCATCGATGATGGTGGAGAGCTTTTCATAGAAGTTCTGCTGGGAATACCTAACCTTGCGCATATAAAACTGACGAATGCGGGAGATAGCATATCCCTTGTGGACAACAGTCGGCGTCTGCCTTTGGGTGCGGGACAAGATTATGTCAATGAAGTCCTTCCCAGGAGGGACAACAGTGATCTTCTTGAAATTGTACTGCACCATCTTGGTGATACAAAACTTGAATACCGATTCCTGTAAAACAAGAACAATGAGAACACTGCACAGCATAATAATAATGAATAAGAAATTGTAAGATGACATAACCAACAAACAATGTTTGCAAGCATTCGTTTTGAAATGATTATAAAAAGGCGTCAATATGCATCTCCACAAGAAGGTGCGGATTAAGTTGAAAACACCAAATCAGACCAAACATAAAGGCAACCAAATTTCCATATATTAAGTGAAGCATGCTATTGGCACACTGAAAAACTATTTCTTTAGAATACTCCATGGCAAGGAACCAATTTAAATCACACAGCACCTTGCTATGACGCACAGCAATGATACTATCAGAAAAGAGGAACCAATTTAAATCACACAGCACCTTGCTATGACGCACAGCAATGATACTATCAGAAAAGCAAATGTATATGGCATCAGCAAAATCTAAGGCGGGCACAAATCATATTGCAAAAATGATTTTCCACTTAAAGTTAAGATAGGAAAGGCAAGATGCCAATAAGAGACTACATGTATCCTTTGCATGGCTAAGAACAAAACAATCTTGATTGGCTGCACAAAATCCACACAGAAAAAAGCAGCACAAAACTAATTGAAGGTTGCAGTGGTCATGCTCGAACAACTATAGTATTCGGTATACACCCATCCTGAACATTAATTCTCCCATGTCACGTCTAAGCAGCAGCTAATTGATCGCTAAAGTACCAATCGATCAAACAACTCTAACTCTCGCACGAAACAATGAAACCCATATCCAACTGATCGCTGCGGATTACAGGAAACAGTACACCAGATCCCTCAGCAAAACTATGAACAGCTCCGATCGATAAAACCATAGAGAAGCACACGCGCAAAGAGAAAGGATAAGGTATACGGGCACGGGGCGCTGCTCACCTTGTGAGGAGCCCGGAGGAAGAGGACAGACTTGCCGCCGAGAGAGGTCGCGTCCCCTCCGGCAAGTGATGGTGGAGGCGGCGCAGGCGTCCCCCTCTGGCGGCGGACGGGGAGAAGGGAGGGTTAGGGCGGGTTTCTCCGAGAGTCTTATAGCCTGAGCGTTGGTGGGCTGGGCTTTGTTCGGCCTATATACATATTTCCCACAATGGGCCATTCGGCCCACTTCTTGCGGCGGCGGCGGCGGCTTGTGTCTCCAGACTTGGTCTCACGGCCTCACCCTACTCGTCGCCTTCCCCGTCCTTCCCGCCGTCGTGGAGAGGAGGTCACGCGGCTGGTTCCCGCCGCTTCCGGACGGTTCGGTCTCCCAGCTTCACCGTGAGTTCACCTAGTTTTGTGACGCCGGCTAGCTGAGCCCTGGCCCTGCTGATTGCACGCCCAGCGCGCTGTGGTTGTTGCGCTGATTCGTTGTCTTCTGAGCTGTTCTAGGGTTCGGAGGGAGCAGGATCAGCTGCCGCGATGTTCCCCAGGATCTCCCGGCTCGGGGCGCGTCTCCTGCGCGAGCCGAGAGCCGAGACGAGAGCTGGTTGGTATCTTCACTTTCCTCTTAGCTCATTTCTCTCTATTATTGGTGGCATACTCGTTATTGGCTTATGCTCATCAATTGTGGTGAAATTTGGGTAACTTCGACCAGCCCTATGATTCTGCGGAATGTTATGTTTCTTGCATTTTGGCTTTCGGATTCGGCTTTTGGATTCTCCTGAGTTTATGTATTGCTAATGTTGTAAAGCTGCAGGCTTGGTGTCTCCTTATCTATTGTTGATTGTTTGAACTTTTGTCTGGCAGGAAACTTGCTAAACAGTGGAGGCATTTTGTATCAAGGTCATGTTAACCGGCATTCGACCCCAGTGGTGACTCCTACTGTATTATCGTTGGTAAGAATTAAAGATTGGTAGTGAAGAATTTATTTAGAGGAACATGTTCCCAATTACCCTTCTTTCCTGCTAATAGTAAATATATTACTAGTTATTGATTCGCTTAATCACTCGACATTGATTTGGACTATATTTATTATTTTCATGATATGGTTTCTATTTGATATATCTATCTATACATTCCCCATTCTGAAATGGCTGTTAAAAGAAGATCGGCATTCTTTTACCTCAACAAGTTAGCTTTTGAAATTTGGGAGAACTGTAAGCAAAGCCTTTATACTGCAGGAGTGATGATTTATCTCTCAAGTTTTTTTAAAAAAAGGGCGTACCCAGTGCAGAGAGCTCCCGCTCTGTGCGGGGTCTGGTCTCTCAAGTTTATTTGTATTAATTTTTCTTTATATTTTTTTAGCGGAATGTCCTTTTGTCAACTGCAACAAGTGGTGATCAGGATGAAAGCAGTCAGGCAAAGGATAAGTAAGTGCACTTGTCTCTTGTTTCATCCTCTTATATATCACAAAATTTGAACTCCCTGGTTGGTTTGTATCTTGGAACCAGGTAACAGCTTAGCCCAGATCCTTGTAACATGGGATTCTTTTGTTATTGTTGTCTCACTGTTTAAGGAGCTGCTCCTTCCACATCTAGAGGAATATGCCACTAAACAATAGCTTGATCAGTTTTACACTTTTACTGAATTGTTGGTGTTGAGCTTTCAAGAATTATTTAGGGTAGAGGCAGTCCTCTGATGATTGATGAGGTTATTTTTCTTCATACTGTGCACAGAATCTCAGTAACATTTGTCAACAAGGATGGCTCAGAAAAGACGATAAGTGTTCCAATTGGAATGTCCATGTTAGAAGCTGCTCATGAAAACGACATAGAGCTTGAAGGTACAAATATTAAGGAAATGTGCACTTCCCTTCCAGTTTGGTTATTGCGTTTATGGTTCTGTAGTCAGTTCATGCTTGATGATAAGAATATATTGATCTTTTTTATATAAAAACAAACTAGTCATGTTCAATCACCTGGTTCCATGGTTTTACCATTTTTCATCAATACATTAGGTATCGTAATCATTCGTTTTTATGTTCTATCAACTGATTTTCAGCTGTAGTTCATGATAACCTTCCCTGCTATTGTGGCTACTGCAGGAGCATGTGAGGGCTCACTTGCGTGTTCTACTTGTCATGTAATAGTAATGGTATGATCGCAATAATACCTTTTCAAATTTGTATTAATATATACTATTAATAACAATGCATTTTTATTTTATACAATGTTTTTTTTCCTTGAGCTGGTGGCTCATGTTGGGTTTCATCTCTAGCAGTCTAACCTGCCCTAATTTTCTTGTGGTTTTATTGTTGTTGTTGCCGTCGATATTCTAGTTTCACTGCTAACTACAATTCTTTATCTCATCCAGGATGTAAACTATTATAACAAGTTAGAAGATCCAGCAGATGAAGAAAATGATATGCTTGACCTTGCATTTGGGCTCACAGAAACGTAAGTCAAGATCCTTCTAACAGAGTAACTTCTCTTATTATTTTGTCTCCTGAATTTTATCTCTGTATAACGGAGACAAACATTTCAATATTTGAGTTTCTGGGAGTAATTGTCAGAATCTGTTCTAAATTTGATGACTATGGGTGTTGACTGTTGAGCTAACAGAAATGGTGGGCCTTGGACAAGATCCATTTTTTTAATACTAGTTTTGCAAGTTTCCAAAACCAGTTTGTAGTCTGCATGAACTAATTGCTGTTATAGTGGCACCTAGGCAATAGGCATAATAAGTATGTTCATGAACAATAGAAACTATGACAACTCCAACTAGTTTTATAAGAAATAACTTATTTGGTCGGTGTGTACAGATGGTTCAGAATGATTTTTTAAATTCATATATGCAATGAAATAATGCATTAGATGAATCACAACCATTAAGAAATTCATGCTGACCAGTGACCCCACCCAAAGTATTATTAGAGGTGGGTTGCCATAGTTTCATCACTCTAATCTGGCTTGTTGGAACTGTATTCAGATCACGCCTTGGCTGCCAAGTGATTGCGAAGCCTGAACTTGATGGTATGCGGCTAGCATTACCTGTAGCCACAAGAAACTTCGCAGTAGATGGCTATGTACCGAAACCACACTGAAGAGGCAGTCATCATGGGGAACACGGATTCTTACAACAGTCAATTTTGTAGTTTATAACCTGTAACTTAACTACAGCTTTGTGCCTTTGTTACTTGTAGACTGGGTGGCTTGGGACTACCTTGTTGAGGGAGGGTTTCGCCTTGTTCACTAGATTTATAAGCCGTACCTTTTCAGCCAATGAACAATATTTTTCTCTCGCAACAAATCAGTCAACAGTAATTTCAGTCATGGCTTATCAGCCAAGCGAGCAGGGCATTTGTTCATTGATGAACCCCTCGGTTACCTGCAGAGAAGAGAGAACAGTGCTTGATTTGGGCGAATAAATATATTTTGTTCTGTGTGCAGTGTGTACTCAGAAACATTTGCATCATAGTGCTCCCAATATTTGGTCGTTTGCAACTTAGGTTGTTCATTCCGAGGGCAGAAGTACCCGGAGCTATGCAAACAACCTTATCGACGCTTTGTTACACATATATTCTGGATCGCTTTACACTTGGCTGTTGTAAAAAATACGGATTCTATTAAGGAAAGGAGATAGAAGAATCTGACTTGTACGTGAGGTTTTGCCAAAACTCTTAGACCTTGATAGGATTATATATATATATATATATGGGAGCTCTATGTTGTAATAACCAATATTCAGAAGAATAAAGAATAGTCTCCCTATCTTATGTCTATTTGTTCTTCTACTTTCATCTACTGTGTTGATCATGAGAGACGGAGAAGGAAAGGTCCTAACCGCTGGCAATATGTTTTATAACACGTTATCAGCACGACAAGCTCTTCGTTGACATCGCCGTTGAAGCCGTCGCCGATCTTCGACGCCGACGCTTGTACCGTCGACATCCGGTCACGGCTACTTCGACGACGTCGAACCCGACGTTATTAACGGAACGGATCTGCTACCTTTATCTGCAACTAATCTGCACTGCATCGACATGCACCGTCGTCATCAAGCAGGCAGTTCTACGACAATGTCAAACGCCATATGCGGTATGTATCTACTAACCACTGTGTACACGGCATGTAAGGTAGATTAAATTGACATCCTATACGAGGTACGAAAGAATCACATCTCGTAGATTGCGCGTTTGTCCTGACCATCGAGTCGATCGGGCTAGTATTTTGCGCACGTACTAGCTACATAGAAGGTACGAAAGAATCACATCTCGTAGATTGCGCGTTTGTCCTGACCATCGAGTCGATCGGGCTAGTATTTTGCGCACGTACTAGCTACATAGAAGTTTGTACTTGCAGTACATGTATGATCAGAAGGCTTCACCATGTTCCTATCTTGCACGCCAGTTTTTTTTCTTGCCGCACTCCAGTATGAGTGTGCGAGCGCTGATCTGGCCATTGAGCCGGCTAATGTTTTGATCTGATTAATTCTACGTGTAGTAGAAAAAACGTACCAGTAGTACATAATGCACACGTCCAAAGAACAGTATGTATATGCATCATACAGACATGCACACATGGCTTCCACACGGCAATCTATGAATGTCGTCGATCGTTGACATGAAGTTAACTCCCCGTAGGAAATAGCCATATCATCAGACATGGGTGTAACATGAAGTTACAGCGAGCTTGGTTCATTCTATTGGTCACGCCTGGATTAGCAATGCATGTTCCCAGTACTTGCACGGCCAAGAAGCAAGTCTCTGTTATATATATATATGCTCGTTCGAAGCCAGCTCCAGTAAGCATGTGTAATCTTGTTGCACGAACGTAACAGGCCTGCCTTGAGGATTGCCCGAACCATGGACAACACTTGTTGTCTTTTAATTTCTCCTCAAGACCGGATCGTGTCCAAGTCACACACGGCTTTGAATCCGAGCTGCCGCATCAGCTCCATATATGCACGGTCTATGCTGAAGCGTCGGTCCGTGGCAGAACTGCTGGCGGACAGTATCTGTTTTTGGACCGATTGGACTCCGAATCAATCCACAAACATGCTTGTAGCCATGAGCCATCGTAATATGCTTACGCCAGGATGCGTCGCACTGTCACGAACCGACTAATCACACTTCCTCACGAAGATGATGTTAACGCAGGACCATAGACCATGCATGCATCATGCTCGCAGCTTGGGAAGCATGGGTTTTTCTAGCAGAAAATTTTGAATTAGCACAATTACAGTAAAATCCTTCTGGTTTAGGGCACGTAGTCCCTCTCATCTTAAAAAGATGCATCGGTCTTGGAATTTCTAGAATAAAAACATGTTTCTATCTTGACAGTATATTCTATACGTTTAATATTTATTTTCTGTTTACGTATAGCGTATTGTTGATGGTAGTTAACAACCATTATAAACCGTCAATTAAACATGTATAAGGACATAAATGTAATCACCAACGAAGGTTTAGGGTTTAAACTAATGAATTCTCACGAGCTTTGGTGATTTCATGACTGCAGGAGGATTTATCCAGAAAATAGCTCCTTGAACCCACTGTCATACGCTCCAAACAAGCAAACCGACGACAATAAGTGATTCTACCCGCGACACCTACGAAGTCGACTTAAGACGGAGCCCAAGCCTCGCCACCAGAAGGAGGAGCCCACCTGGCACCATAGTGGGCCGGCCGGCCCACTAGGGAGGCCGCCCGGCCCATGAGGGTGGCCCATCACCCTCCGTCACCGCGTACTCCTTCCTACAATTTACACCGTTGATTTTAAGACAGTTTTAGGTCGGTTCATCCAACTGTGGTTGGGAGAGTTGACGTGGATCGATGACGTGGCAATTCCTTGCCCTCCTACTCCTCCTAGAGTCCTTGGCCGCTACTCTATCTATGGCCTATATATAGCAGCCCCTACCCCCCTTCCTCTTTAGATCCTGAAACCCTAATTCATATTCTCCTCATGCGGATCAGAGCTAGCTATCGAGAGAAGATTAGTCCTCCATAGGATCTAGTCTTTAAAAATAGAGAGATAGAGAGTGAGGGAAGAGTTTAGAGGAGGTGCCGGCCTGTCGGTACTCTCTATACGGCTTGTACCTTGGCGGAAGTCAACCGTGCGTCTGAGATTTCTCTGCTAATCAACTTCCGATTCAAGTAAGCATCTTGTTTATATTGTTCTTCAGGTTTACGACTCTTTTGAGTGCTTTATTCCTACACTAGAGGGAGTAAAGTATTAATTGTAAGTGTAAGTCTGGTGCTTAGACTTAGGTTAATCGTGGATGTACCCTGCATTCCGGATCGGTGGTAGCTCGCGAGGGTGACTCTTATAGTCTTGTTGAATCCTTTGTAGTCCACTTCCCGTCTGTAGGCGCACATAGGACGTGGTTGCGAAGGAAAACATCATCTGTTGGTGTCTTTCCCTAATAATGTCCCCAGTTGAACAATAGAAGACATACTTATCGAGATTAAAACTAGAAGACCTTAGCGATCTCCTCTACACTCCCGACTTTCTTAAGTCTTGTTGCTACTCTGGGTTAAGTTGGACCGTAGTTATCCTCACATGTTTCCCTATGGATACGATACTTGGAATACCTCCGGGTAAAAGCTATAGCGGTATCCGTGCACTTGTGGATTTATCTGTGTGTGTTAAAATACACCAATACGTATGTGTGCTGATATTTTTATGCTATCTTAAATTCATTTATTTATCACATGTTATGAATATACCATGTAATAACAAGAGTAAAACATTGAATGATTACACTAGAAACATGGTATAAGGTATATGGCCTCTCTAAATCCTGCAAACCTTAGACTTATCACCTTTGAGAGGCTTATATTTATTTTTCCTAGCATAATAAATTTTTGGGATGAACGAATGTTTAGTATTAATTCTAAAATTTGCATATACCATAATTCTAAAAAATGCTAGAATGTTCTAAGAATATTTTGTATAACCATCCACTATCTTTTTGCACCTTGCTGCTTGTTTACACGTAGTAAACTTATACACACATGATGATTCCAATTATAATGATATATATGCATACAATCATGAAGAATGAATATCCTGGACTTGCCATGAAAGATAGAATTATATGGCATGGTCACTGTTAAATCCTAGTAGGATATTCTACTACCGCTGAAGTGGAGTAGACTCAGACACTATAGTTCCTGGTATTACTCTCAAGAATGAGTATGTGGTCATAATAAATTTCGAAGGTCTTATGGGACTCATTGAATGAGAAATTCTAGAAGATATCATATATTATGATTGTATAATGTTAGAAATATTAAAAATTGAATTTTTAAGCTTATATGACCATATGGGGTATAAATGCTACTCTATAAAATACAATTAGCTTGAAGCTTTGTGTTAAAAGTCATAGAAGACGAGATGATAAAGACGACTTTGTCTAATTCCAGAAGAAATGTTTGTTGAAATAGAAGATCAAGAGCATTGAAGTACTAGAAGTATCCAATGTCATCTAGAATTATTCAATATCAAGTAGAAATTGAGTCAGAATTTTTAGATAGCTCTATGAATCAGGATATGTGACTTGCATATATTATACTCCTAGAAGGATCGAACAAGCATGAAGCTGCTAAATGTCGAGCATTGAAGCTAAACATGTAAGAATGGATAGAGATTAGAATATTTAAAGTTTCACTTGAAGAAGAACTTAAATCATGTGCTTATAGACTTATTTCTTTTTAAAATTCATATCCTAGAGTATTGATATAATGGTGGTAGTACTTTAAGTTTTAATTCCCGTTGAATTAAGTGGATTATGTAAACTCGTAGAAGAGTTAATGGTTACTTTATTAGCTCAAATACTAATATGAAGCATTTAATGTTCTTAGTGGCAATTTTTACTTGCAGTAATATATGTTAATCTTGCATGGAATGAATTATGTTTTACATATAAACAATTGCCTATTGCCAATCTAAATAAATTTTGCATTAATTTTATCCACAAAGAAGCCTTAATTATCCATGAAGATTATAGTTCTTTGTGCACTACTACCATGTAGGTAGAAGGGAAACTAAATTTCTAGAAGCACATGAACAATGGGACTATACTGACATATTAACTGATTTT